TTTTTAAACAATATATTTATAAATTGATGTTTCTGCTAATAAGTTCTCATATAAGTTTGGTTAATGTACTTTTTTTGGCATGGGGGACTGACCACAGGGGGGGCTCTAAATCACTGAGCTACATCCCTGGAACTATTGTTTTTTTTTGGTACTGGGGACCGACTCAGGAGTATCTGACCACTGAGTCACATCCCCAGCCCTATTTTATATTTTATTTAGAGACAGGGTCTCACTGAGTTACTTAGGGCCTCACCATTGCTGAGGCTGGCTTTAAAACTCCCAATTCTCCTGCCTCAAGTCTCGAGAGCCACTGGGATTACAAGCATGAGTCACTGCGCCTTTTTTTTTTTCTTTTCTTTTTTTAAGATAGGATCTCACCAAGTAGTTTAAGGACATGCTAAGTTGCTCAGGCTGGCCTCAACGTTGGGATCATCCTGCTTCAGCCTCCCAAAACGCTGGGATTATGGATGTGTACCACTGCACTTTAATACATATTAAGAGAATATGTATTTGGAAAGACAGCAAATAAACTTACATAATAATTCCCAATAAAACTTACCTGAAAAATCTGTCTCCATTGCAGACAATAAAATATGACATTCCATAAGAAATGATTATAGTGGAGACACCCAAATCAATGTTATTTTCAGAGACAAATGTATGTTGGGAGGGATGTGGTGTGGTTAGGAAAGAAGAATGATAAGCAAAGGTTTTCTGAAGGGGATAACTAATGTAAATGTGGAAGGACAACAAAGAGAGAACAACATAAGAGATTGGCTATAACATTACATAATTAGAGAGTCGAAAATAGTTTGACAAAATTGATGCAAACGCTATTTCTAATATTGATAATAATAAACATATAATATTTACAGCAAGCTACCAACTTCTAGGCTGATAATAGGATATAGTACTTGTTATGGCAATGCCTTTGGGCACATTATTCAATAAATAACTGCAAAAAACTACATCATCACTTTCCAACAGATCCTTTTGTGAGAATAAAAATATTCCACAACATTGTGGTTGCTAAGAAATTTAAATATGACTAGTGCAAATTAGAGTAGTCTGAGGAAGTCCCTTTGAGAGGTTGAAATGTTCCTAAGCAGCAGAGTGTGTGTTTAGAAAATCCCTTTGAAAAGATATTTACAGGAAGGAGTCAATTAAGCAAAGAACAGAAGTTGAGAATGAGCTAAGTAATCCAAAGTACATGTATGAAGACATGAATTGGGTGTCAACCTACTTTATATACAAACAGAGATATGAAAAATTGTGATATAT